TTCTTTTCCAGTACTTATCTTTACATTTCTTATTTATTTATCTATTTTTATTTCATTTTCTTTTATACATTCAATCACATTATTATTTGGCTTACAAAATGGATATTTCAACAGGTGAACATTTCTCCCTAGTACAGTTGATAAAACTATAAAATATCTATAACATATAATACCACATTTCTTTGTGCCATTAATGCTTTACCTCTCTATTTTCATTCTGAATGTCCTTCCTCAGACCCTCCTCTTTCACACACACTATATATGGTATTTTTATCTATATACTGTGTTTCTATATCCTTTAATCAATTAGTTTCAGTCACTGAGTGCAGACACTCATATTAAGTGGGGACATACAATGCCTTTCCTTCATAGCCTGGCTTGCTTCACTCAGCAGTAAATCTTCCATATTCATCCACTTCCTGTCAAAAACCAGGGTATTTTTTTTTTCTTTTCTTTTCTTTTTTTGTTTGTTTGTTTGTTTTGGGTGAATAGTATTCCATAGAGTATATGTGCCACATTTTTTCTATCCATTCATCTGTTTGTGGGCATTTGGGTTGTTTCTATGACTTAGCAATTATGAATAATGCTGCAGTAAACATTGATGTGCAAGCACTTTTCCTATTAAGTATTCTTCTGTCCTTTGAGTAGATACCAAGGACTGGGATTGCTGGATCATATGATAGTTCTATTTACATTTCTTTTCTTTTCCCTTTTTTTTATTTTTTAGATTTTTGCTACAGGATGTGTAGCTTGCCAGAGGGAAACAGAGAGAGAGAGGGAAAGTGAGAAATCACCTTTTAGGGTGGATGGTCATGCCACAATCTCTTTTCTTCCATTCTCCTCTCAGAATTTTGAACACACACACACTCTCTCTCTCTTCTGATGTGTTTCTAAGGTTGCCAGGTCCAGGGCTTGAACCATGCAGCTAGGCATGTGTGATCCAGTGGCTTAACAACCATGCCACCTTTTGGCCCTGCATTTCTTAATATGCTTCTGGGTGGCGTTTTTGTTTTTGTTTTGGTTTTGGTGGTGGGGAGGAATATTTTTGCTATAGGGTGTACGTGATTGCCAGGGAGAAGAGAGAGAAAGTGAAAAATTACCCCACAGGGAGGATGGCCACACCACCATCCCTTCTCCTCCATATTCTTTTTGGGATTTGGGGCATACACACACACACATAAGCCTGGTATGATTTTTCAAGCTACTGGGTTTGGGACTTGAACTGTGATCAGCCATGTGGAAGTCCAGCACCTTTACTGTTATGGCACCTGCTGATCCTATGCTTCTGGGTTTAAAAAAATGTATTTTTTAGACATTATTTGACATTATGTTACTTTAGATGAAAACTTAACTCTCTTCCGTAGCCCATTTTCTTTCCC